AATTTAAAAGCGTACATACCGAGGTCGTTCACTGAGAGATTTGGAGTTATTCGAAACATCCCATGCACATATAGTGCCGATGATATAATTAAAAACGCCGTATCCGATATCCCGATTAAGTCCGCTGTCCGTTTCCAAAGAAGAAATCCCAACAACGAAGACGAGTGGATTCCCACTACCAGCATCAAAGTTGGCTTCAAAGGGAGAGCCCTCCCTAAGGCAATAGAATTTAATTATTGTAATCTGCCGGTTGAATACTTTGTACCCCCTTTAAAGCAGTGCTTCAAGTGTGGCAGATACGGTGACGTATCTAAATTCTGCAAAGCTTAAGAGAGCAGGTGCCTTAACTGTGGAAAGTCTCCGAAGTGTGTAAATTGTGAGGCGATGAAGTGCTTGTCCTGTCGCTCAGGTGAGCACAAAGCTCTCAATAAGTGTTGCCCTAATAGGGAAATTGAATTAAACATCAACAGGATAATGGCGATTAAAAATCTTTCGTATAAAGAGGGCAAAGAGAATTTTTCCGAAAATTATTTCGAATGTCTCGATGACAACACTTATGACGGCAATTTCCCTCCACTGGGGAACACGTCTGCAATTTCGACCAAGGATGATAATCAAAATGCCAACAAAATCCTAACCAAAAATAAATACAATGCTGTCGTCAAAAGGAAATTGGTTCCCTCCAAATCTCTTATCAATTCACTCACAAAGCCTTCTCCCAATACACCCCCCAAGTCGTCTGGAACAAGCCTTCTTGGACCGAAAATTTCAAACAACTATTTGCGGTCTTCAGAACTTGAAAGATTAATTCACGCGATTCAAGAAAGTATCCGTCCGATGATCCCTCACAATCTTATTAAAGATTTTGAAGAAAAAATGTCTGTCTGTGCTATTTCTTGCCCCGTTCGAGCATCCAGTACTGCGAGGAAATCCGCTGGGGTTCTTTCTCAAGTTTCAACATGATATCCTTTTTACAATATAATATTCAAATTGTCCGACGTAACTTATCTTTTCTAGATTTTTATTTAAACTCAAACAAGATCGATTTTTGTATCTTAAGTGAAGTTTTTCTGAAAGATGATAATTGCTTCGAAGTTAAAGTTTCGAATTAAGTCTCAGCCACCAAATGCCGAAATGATGGCTATGGTGGTGTTAGTATATTAGTTAAGAAAGGTGTCAATTTCAGACGTATTCCCTATAACTCTGCCGTTGACATCATCATCATCAAAACCATCAACCTGAAAACGAATCTTTTCATAGCCTCATGCTACTTTCCACCCAGTCTTGATGTGCAAACCTTTCGTGATGAGATTCAGAGATTATGCGACTTTCTTGACGGTGAACAAAACGTGATTCTACCTGGAGATTTCAATGCAAGACACCGCCTGGATGGCGATCAAGTCTCTACCAACAAAGGCAAAATCCTTGTAAATGCCATCAATTCCAGCAGTTTCAGTGTCTTAAATAACGGCAATACTACCTTTCACTGTAACCGGAGCGGTCGCACGGCGAGCAGTGTCTTGGATCTAACTTTCTCGAACTCAACTATTTTATCTTTCAACTGGAACACGTCCAATGTTTCCATTGGCAAAAGTCAGCACTCCCCCATTATATTCCACAGTTGTAACAATTCCGTCAAGAAAATAGAAAATTTCATTTCACGCAACTTTCTTATGGACCGTCTGTCCAAAGTTGATCTTCCTTTTGATTTATCATCAATTCAAAGTGCCTTTCAGTCTGTGATCATGTCTGCTAGAACCAACTTCCCTGACATTGAGTCCTTCTCACCTAAACCTTGGTGGAATCCTTCCCTGTCAACACTTTTCCGCAAATACCAAGCTGCAAGAAAAAAAATGAGTAAATATGCCAATCCAGCCAACTACATTGAATATATGAAAATACTGAAAAAATGGAGGTCTGCAGTTAGAAAGGCGAAAAGGGCACATAGAGCCATCGCTATTAAAGAGTTATGTGGTAACGGCAACCCACGTTCCTTCTGGAATTATATTAATGGTCATCGTCATTCTAGTCGAAAATTAAGCGGTTGTGCTGTATGGAATGACCGTGATAATAAAAAATACTTAGATATGCTCAAGAGCTACATTCCAATTGTTAATCCTATTACAATGCCCTCAATTCCTTTTCGTAGTATCAGTAACACACCCTTTTCATTGCATGAGCTAATGTATGTTTTACATTCCAGAAAGAGAGCTACTGCTGCAGGTTGTGATGGAGTCAAGTATGACATGCTCACAGCACTGTCTGGAGGAAGCTTTAGCATGCTTTTGCATGCAATTAACAACTGCTGGTCCACCAACTTTATACCCTCTGATTTGCGTTGCATCAAAATAGTTCCCATTCCCAAGCCAGGTAAAGACTTAAATGATTTAAGTAGCTTCAGACCAATTTCACTAATATCTGTATTCATAAAGACCATCAACCTCATGGTTAAGGAGAGACTAACTGCTTTCCTGAAAACTAAGAACATTATTCCAGCTCGGTCTTACGCCTACGCCAAAAAAACGCAAATCTACTAATATGTGCGTTAATGAACTGTGTTTTCTCATAGCCAGCTTAAAAAAAGCAGGGAAAATGGTTGTCATGCTCTCCTTGGACATCAACAAAGCCTATGATTGTGTCAACTTGATTAAGCTCGGTAGAATTCTCCTAAACTTTTCGATTCCTCTTCAAATGCGGCTGTGGATACTTAATTTTTTATCCAAGCGTGTGTTGGTGATGGATACCGAAAAAGTTGAAATATGCGGTGGTATCCCACAAGGCAGTTGCTTAAGCCCCATACTCTTCAATTTATACGCAGCTTCTTTGCATGATCTTCAAGATGACAAAACTCACATTTTTCAATATGCAGACGATTTTCTAATCGTATCTGCGGACTCATCTTTTCCAGCAGCTGTCAATAACCTCTCGATGAAAGCGAACTTGTTTTTCGATGCATGCGCTGATCTTAATTTATATTTTAACCCCAGCAAGACAAACACTATTTATTTTGCCAAAGGTTCTAAACGTGAAATCAAACTTCTTATCAAAGGTACCCTAGTTAATCAGGTAAAATCTCTTCGATTTCTTGGGAGAATTTTAAATGACAGCTTAACCTTTCGTGGGTATTATGAAAAGGCGTTCAAAGTCTGTCAGTCTGGATGCAACATCATCAAACTCATGACAAACAATCAGGCAGGCTTGCCTCCCAAAAATGCTTTGACCGTTTACAAATCTCTAGTCAGGTCCAAAATTGAATTTGGACATTCCATATGTTTCAATTTCTCAAAATATATTGGAAAACGTATACAAGCATTTGAAAACCGAATGTTGAAGCGTTGTACTGGACTGACCCCCTCAACTCCTCAACATATTCTCAATGTCATAGCTGTTGAATGGCCAATTTCCGAAAGAGCCCTTTTTTGCACTGCCAAGGAGTTAATTAAAGTCAAGATGATAAATCCTTGCTTTTTTCAGGAAATTATATCTCTCAGTGACACTGTCACTTGCAGCTATACTTTTTGCTATCAAAAACTTCGTCATATTTTTGATAAGTTAGATTCAATTCCCTCCTTGAATTTCATTACCAGCAAATGCAAAGTCTTCATGAACATTCTCGAACCGATCTCTACCTCAAAACAAAATGTCAACTTCTCTTGTATAAGGTTGTTATGCCAAGAAAAGCTCATCAACGGATATGATATATATGCCACTGACGGTTCCGCCGGACATAATGTATCTGGCTTCTCGGTCGTGAAACATCTATCTGAAACAATACTTCGAGTCAAAGTGGAAGAGGAACTTTCCTCTACTTTTATTGAGTTGCTCGCCATTCGACATGCTATCATGGTTGCTATTTCCGATGGTATCACAAGTTTCGTTATTTTTTCCGACAGCAGGTCAGCTCTACTTCTAATAAATAAAAGAGATGCAGAAAATCAATATGTGTTTGACATTCACAAGACGTTGCACGAATCTCAAGTGGATGACTGTCACCTCGTTTGGGTACCTGGCCACTGCGGCTTTTTTTTAAATGTAAAAGCCGACTTTCATGCATGGAGAGCTCGTGTTGATGGGACAATTTTGTCCATCAAATATACTCCCAATGAAGCAATTCGGGCAATTCGCAACCACATCTTTCAACAGCTAAACGACGAATTTAAAGCAATCGCCCGCGTTAAATCCAATCGTCTTTTCTATAAATTAAATCCCACATTTCAATTCAACCCTTCTCTGTATCTTCTTTTAATTCCTGGGAAATCATAATTCTTTATAGACTCATGAGTGGTCACACTTATGACAAAGTTTATTTAAAAATGATTCGCGCTATACCATGTGATGTTTGTGAAGTTTGCAATGTTGTTGAGTCTGCTGAGCAATCTTCAGATGTCACTAGAGATTCCTTTAGCTTCTTCAAGTTATATGCCTGTCTCCTCGATCTCTTTGCAGCAAAAAATGTACGTCATCTCGGAGAACTAACTTGCTTTATTAGAAAAGCTAATTTATCCTTTTAGAATTTTTTTTTTTTTCCTCCTCTTTCCTTTTTTTTTCTCTCATTTTTGCGTTTAATAATCTTCTATTACCATAGCATTGCTTTTCGTTTTCAGCCAAAGTTTGCAACACTGTTTAACTTTCAAGAACTCAACAAGCACAATTACACACACACACACACAATTACATTTAACATGCTCACTCCAGTTATTACGACCGCTCTTATTTTTTGTTACGTTTTATGTATAATCGTGACTAAAAATTACAACAGTTTATTATTTGGACATATAAGCCACAAACCTATTGGCTTAGTCCACCTCTGTTCAACATACCAAAAAAAAAAAAAAAAAAAAAGAAATAAAAAAAACCACAAAGTGGGGGGGCAATTGATATTCAAATAGTGCGAATAATTAAGAAATAAATTATTTTGGTAACATACGTTGAATTTTAAATTTGGTTGGTTTAAAATACAATATCATACATTTAAGTAGCAGTTCGAGTATTTGTTTCTTGCAGTCTGAGTTACAATCACAACCATTCAATATTAGAAAGAGCTAATACAGATAAATTAAAATAAGCTTACACACTGTTTGTTTATTTAAAAATAGTAAGTAATTTAAAAACTGCAAAAAAAATTACGCAAAAAAATGGAAACATACTAGAACGGCTATTCACTTCGATACTTTTGCCGTGAGCAATACTTTATCTTTATAATGCCTTCACATACATTCTATTTTGCATACTATTTTTAAGTCTTTATAAAATTTATAAATCACCGCTTGCTACATTAAAAGTTCAAAATGTGCGCAACATTTTGCAATGTTTTTGCCTTTGTCTTTTTTTTTTTTTTGGTATGTTTGTTTATCTCGAATCAAAAGACGTAAGCAAAAATTTGCTTATCCTTTCTGCTTTTTCGTTCTACAAGGACTTTAGATACGAAAATTATGACCGTAGTCTTACGAGATGAAAACAAAAACGGATCTCATATTTTAGCTTCGTCTAATGAATGTGAACTAAAAAGTACGTGATTATGCATGATAGGTGAAGATACTAATTATGAAATTTTCCATTAATTTTCTTCTGTTTCGAAACTTGATGATATCTACTCCTTTCTTCAAAGCTTCCTCCTCTATCATTTATTTTACAGAAGTTAAGTAGAAATAGGAAGTGATTTTAAATTTTTTTTGTGAAAAACCAACTTTACAACAGAATCTTACAGAAATAAACAAACAAAAAATTAGAATTATTAAAATTTGAAGCTAATAAAATTAAATTTTTTCGTCCATTTGAGCACCACATTTACAAAAAAGGAGAAAGAAAAAACTTAACGCAACTTTGAACTAAGGCTGCGCTCTTCATCGTCCCATGAGCCGAGTGATTATCAATTTTCGTTTATGTTTTATTTCGTCAATTTAATTCATATTTATTAAAAATCCTTTTAAATAAATTTCATTTATACATACATTTTACAATTATGTTGCGAATGTCTTAGATTATTAAAATTAAAATTCATCATTATTGAGCGGAAAAGCAAAAAAGTCAATTTTTTATATATAATTACTGGCCAGGAAAAAAAGCAAACTTTTTGATGAAGCAAAAATAAGAGTTTTTCTCTCAGATTGCAAATAAATAAAATGCTAACTGCATAAAAATGCATAAAAGATTTAAGATTTTTGTGTAATAAATGAACACGTATCAATTTTATAGAAAAACAATTAAAATTAAAACCAGAGCCTGTGGAAAGCCTACTGAAGAAGTAGTCACAGCTAGTGTGAAAACTCTTAACAGTCACTAAAAAACACTCACCACAGCAGAAGTGAGGGCAAATAACCCGTTAAATCAGTAAAATTATATAGCGCAATCCATTGATTATTGAAACTCATGTACTTGTATAGCGTACGGAAATTGTTTAAATTTATTATTGAAATAATAAACGTAGTCAGGCTATGTTTCACGTGTAATTAAGCCAACATGTGGTCAACAAAACGGATATAAACGACATTCCTATATATAACGTAATTGAAAAATTGAAACCAAATCGTTATATTTGTGGTATTATGAATCCAAGCCATCAAAAACATAAACGTACTGCTGAAAATGTCGTAGACGTAAACCAAACATTGCTAATTTTCGTTTTACTTCCTTCTAGTGAACTGCCAACGGTTTTATATGAAAAGAAAAAACTGGGATTGGCTTTAGCACTTACATAGATTACGGACATATTTTAGTCGTGCATTCAGTGAATAAAATTGGGAATTTTCGGTTAACATTAATTTATTTTAACTGTGAAAATGGCAGGCCGATTAGCAACTATTGAAGAGTAAATGCCGAAAAATATTTGGCGTGGTCCATTCAAATGAAAGCCCTGCCATAACTATGGGCCTATGGTCATCCGCATAGGTAGAAATTGCTGCGGATGCGAGTGAGGAAAAGAAAGGGCTAGACCAACAAACTCTTGCTAGATAAATTTATCAGTGAACTCATTAGAACTGCCACATATAAAAAATTGCGTTTCAGCGAAATCTGCATGGGTGTTTTAAAAATTTTACACAAACGAAACGCTCCAATACGTGAGGTAAGTATTTTTAAAAACTAGTGCGTTTCAATTTCAACAAGTGATAAATTGGTTGTTTAATTAAAGATTTTTGCGATACTGTGAATGAGTTAAATGGCATTGGAGTTGACATTCCATATAATATTTCATTACATTTTTTATTTACCAGGCGAACCAGGCGAAATGGATAATTTCATTGTTCTCATAGAAAGCATGTGTAACATACGTCGAGAGCTGGGGTTATCTTTATTTGGCCTGAATGGCTAAGAAAAAAGGAAAAGGAGAAAAATATATCTTATGTCAATTATGTTATACATGGTCTGTTTATCTGTTAAATTGTAGAATTGCTTCTCTGTTTCACCCTATTGTCGGTTAGTCTGCATATATGTATCAGTTTGTTCGTTACTATTTGTTTAACAACAGTTAATTGTTTTATTTTTTATATCATTAAAGAAAACTACAAAGGAAATAATTATTTACAGTTGTATTTAGTTAGATACTATACCGCTTAGAATACGTTCCCACTGTCTTTGATTCTGAAATATCCCTCACATGCAAATTTATGGCTGATGTGATAATGTGCTCTTTCGAGGCATAGCAGACTATGTACGTGCCTTTGCTGAGCTAGCTAGTTCGTGAGATATGGGAGGGGTGCTATATTTTCGGTTCATTGACACTTCTCAGACTGTCAAAACTAAAAGAACATACGGATGGAATGGATGCGCATTCAATGTGATAATAATATAGTCTTGTGTTACACCATGTAAAAGACATCTTCTTATATTTTTTTGAATTCAGGACCATACAATTGATTGCACACCATGAGCACAGATTCTCAAGGCCAGACAGTATTGAGCCAAAGAAAGGAGATAGTTTAACGTCGTCTGCAAACATTAAAACACGGAAATGTTGCTTGCAGTTCAGAAGGTGATTCATGTATAAAATAAATAAAAGCTGGCCAAGACTACTGTCCTGAGGAACATCAGAAATGACGACAATTGCTCAGGACTGGCAAGAATTCAGCACCACCCGTTGGATGCGATCACAAAGGTAGCTACTGAACAGGCATTCATACGGTTTAAAAAAACATAGCGAGGTAATTTATAGACTAACAACCTATGATAAACTCTGTCTAAAGCGTGAAAATAACACCATTTAGAATTAGATTATACAACTTCAAAAGATTAATAACAGTTGACTTTCTTTTTAAAAATCTGTGCTGGCAGTGCGATATGATTTAGCCTAAAACCGGAGTAAGCCCTTTTGCTACCATTGGTTTAAATAATTTTTTTTTTAATAGTTAAATTTTCTCTGCATAATGTAGCTTATAAGGCGCATTTACGTGACAAGAATGATGATAAGTGGAGTACCTATTGTCATCAAAGGAACAAAGCTAAATATGCTATTAGAAATGCATAATGGTGAATCAATTAGTCTGTTAAAAATTGGCCAAACTTAAATTACTATTACGGGCTGTTGACTTTTCAAGTCTAATGCGCCAGGAGTGGTTGATTTCTCTCATAGATTCTTGAAATTAATTTGGCTCTGGATTGATGCTCATATATTATTAACCACGTTCTTACTAAATCTAAGTTTCCCTCGGCCTTGAATTGATCCCTATCAAGAATAGCGGCAAGTCATTTAATCTCTCGAATCTTAGGTCGATTTCAATTTTGCCTATTCTCTCAAATGTCTTTGAACATGTAATTAAGGAACAGAATATCAACCATATTGACAATAACTCCATAGCCAGCATGGTTTTAGAAAAGGTTTCAGCAGTACTTCTTTCCTACCGACTATACAGTAAGTAATACTCATGTCTCGGTGTTATTGCCGCTAATTCTAACACAGCCTTTGATTGGTTTGTCACATGTACTTTTGATTCATAAGCTCCTGAGGGACCTCATTTTTCGAATTCAGCTGCCGTTCTGACAGAATCCCAGTTCTTGGATCGTTTACAATTTGAATTTGTTGGTGCTGTACAATTTGAGCCGCTAAAGGTGCGAAGTGGGGTCTTTCAGGGATCTATCTATTGGCCTCAAACAATTTCGATAACGTGTCGACGCCCGAATCTACGTCCGAATTTTGCTTTAAGGGTACATGTTGAAATTGTAAATATCTTGAAATGCTGGGTGTGATTATCGATGATAAATTATGCTTAAATTATACGGAGTAAGCCTTTTTGCTACCAGTGGTTTAAATAGTTTGGGCAGTGAACTAAGTTTGGTAATTCCGAGTTTAAAATCTGTATAAATACTTTTTTTGGAAGAGTTGATCAACTAGAAAAACATATCTATAATTAAAGCTACTTGTAAAAAAGCGTCATTAAATACGAATATAGCAAAGTATTGAATTTCCGGATTTTCAAGCGAAGAATGAAGAACACGAAAACTTCCGAGTACTTTGTATGTTTCATGTATTGAGTGTCGTATGTTTCATTATTGAGAGTATCAGTTAGTAACACCAATTTTCTTATAGAAAAATTGCGGTAATTTCAACACGTTGATGTAAACACTTCATTCAAATTCAGGTGTCGCATTTATTATAATAATCGATTCACTTTTTATAATAATAGTCAATTTTTTGAGTCAACTTAATACGACTTATCTCCCTGCAGCTGACGTGTATTTAAGTATTTCGTACATATCATCAAGTCAACGCATCGAATAATGACAATGTATGGGATTTTTGCCGAATAAAATATTGGGTTTTCGTATAAGGAAAGCCACGAAGATAAAAAAATGCATATTACTAAAATTAATATTTGGTGTGGTATAATTTTTGTTAAATAATGTCTTTTAAACGTTTTGACATATTTTGTATAAGTTTTCTTATGTGGGGAAAAGGGGTCTGACTTCATTCCTTTTATAATCTGTTTTGCTGGTCTTGGACGCAATAAACTGAGAGTTTTCGCACATGGCCTTGCCATTTACCACACATATTTTTGAGGGGGTTTATGCCTGGTGATTTGTGGGAGAGGACGAGGCAATTTGGCGCAATTATATAAGTACCATTCTTTAATTATGCCGGACATATCCTTGAGGTCTTGGTAGAAATTCAATGTTTCCAAAATACCAAGTTTGTCCGCTCTTTCTTTCAAATTTTCCTTCAATATAAAATGCACTTTGATAATCACAAATAGTAGCTTTAATAATTATTCATTGCAGTTATTCATCAAGGATAACGCTGTGGTCAAAGGTCGAGAAATTGCATCGGGAGCCGGTCTTACCGAAGCTAAAAGGTCTTGACGGTATCCACTAACACCTGAAAAGAAACTAAAAAGATATAGATTTTGGTGTTTGCTTCTTAACACCTACAGAGCAGTGAAGCATTATCCAGCCTAGCCCAATTGTTTTCCGGGTAAGCTGTTTCATCGGAGTGCCTCCACATATGCGAATCATGACCAGATCCCGGAAATTTTAAATTGACTGCCATGATTTTCATTCTTTGGTCTCAAATCTAGTAAGAAAGGTTTATATTGATAAGTAATTTTCCCTAATAATAAATCCCCTAAAGAACCAAAAACCAAATCCACATTCGCAGACGTGCCATGCTGTTGCAGTTCGATGAAAATGATTAGGGGAAAAGTAGGCTGGTATTAAAAAGAAAACCATAAATTTAGGTATAGTAACATGCTTGTAAATATGTATATAATTAGAATATTTGTGGAAGGGAGAATTAGCCGGACAAGAAAATAGAAGTTGAGAGTACGGCCAAAATAAATTGTGAATAATCCTACATTTAAAGAACATAATTGTAAATAAATGATCCTACTGTTAAGGAATATAATTGTAAATAAAAGAAGTTTGAAGTGTATTTCTCTTGAACAAAATAGTGAAGTGTATTTTTCTTGAATATATTGTAGTCTAGTGATACGGACTGTATCTTACAAAAGCGAATTTCATACAATATATATATGTAAGGACATAACACAATATTTCAGATTATTTATTAACATTCTGCTTAGGTTATGTTTCCTTTTCCAATTAATGAAAATTGATGCATTTTATACGAGCTTGAGAAAATGTTTAGGCGTTCCATCAATACTGCAAATCACTGTAATAAATGGTATAAATATAGTAATGGTCGTTTCTTATAAAACAAAAGGTGTAATTGCTTACCGTCTGGGGTATCAAATTTCTAGTAAAATCACTTACGTATCGGTCCATTGGATCCACTCTGCATAGAGGTTTGTTTCCAACTTTTGCAATGCCTCCGATATACAATAATATGCTTTCTACAAGGGCTGCGGTAGGGCCGCCACAGGCCAGCCATTGGTAGCTCCCTGAAGCCAAAAACTCTAAAATCGTGACTAAGTGCAACCGGCGGTGTGTATGCACTCCTCGTACCACTGCTCGCACCAATCTTTCCCAGAACGTAATAAAAAGCCGCTTTGGAAACGCGAAACTTCTGCATAAATCTACATTCAATGATATAATACATATATATACCTTTATTGTGCTTAGCGGTTCTCCTCGTCTTCCTCTTCAATAAACGAGCATAAAAGGAAGATACGATACTTTATGCTTAATATGTGTACGTTAGTCAATTTTTCTCGAATTAGTTCAATATTTAAAAAAAATTGTAATGTCCAAAATAAAGAATAACTCAATATCTAGCAGCCGCAGTAAACCTATAATATGCTTGGGTTTGTTTATCTTTTTCTTTTACAGCTGGTTTTCCTTACAAGCGCGACCCTGAAAGAGGATTATGTGGTAACCTTTCTTGGTCTGTACTCAAAACGATTGCAAATTCCTTTCAAATGGTGGTAACTTTGGCGTTGTCAGATTTAGCGTAACTATAAGAGCGCGTTTCAACCATTGCCAGCAAATTTGACATGATTAGACTTCATTGCTACCTGTTTATATGATTATAGTAAAATTGTCTTGTAAAATAGGATAGGGCTTACAAAAGATTCATTTATAAGAACTTTCTTAGATAAATGGCAATTTAGCATGGTTTCTTTCTTTGTAATTTCTTCATTTTTCAATGGTTCCTTAAGCAATTCGACACCATTTTAATAGTTGATATTTGGGAAGTTTTCATGTGAGTTAGGGCGCGTTTTATTGCAAAAATCCTTATATGAAAAAATATTATAATTTAAAATTTTTCAAGAAAAGTCGCTAATAATTTAGCTTATTGAACTATTACGTAAAATCCGATCCTTTCACTTCCCGTTTATATAAGTATTCCTACGAAAAGTAAATTTTTGTACGGCAAAAAAGTCGAACTCTCCTTACTACGTGGTGAATACAATAACGGTTCGTCATAAAAATGAACTGTACCAAATTTGGATCACAAATTTCGCGATGTGTTAAAATGTTTGATTCATTTTTGATTTATTTGAAATGCACCTTCGAGGTTCTACTGTGAAGGTAGGAGAACAATCAGTTAAGTGGACATGGATGCATATTCATGATTACTAATTTGTGGTTCATTCTAAAATCGTTGTACATAACACCTGTTTTTGTGACTTTAGAGAAGTTCTTAAACAAACGATAAATAATTTTAAGAAAGCTTGTGGAGTTTCGTGTGGTTTTAAAAATGGGTGCTGGCTAGGAGTAAAATAACTTGATAAAATAACTTGATAACATAACTACGAGGCATTAAAATGCGCTCGAATAGGTTGAACAATCAGTTAATAACAGTTGCGTCTAGATTCGCTTGCTGTGCAGCTACAATGGATGTTATTATTTGATTTAAGTCCTTAACTCAATTTGCTTAGAGTTCAATAATTCGTTCGAACATTCGCTGATTCAATTTAAACCTTACTTTGCGCTGGAGCAAGGATATCAGCCATAATTAAACTGTACGATAGGGTTAATTTGGCCCGACAATTTGGACATAAAGAATTCATTTTTTCTTAGAAAGATTGTTGTGTGAGAAAATAAATTGGAAAATGTTTCGTCTATTCAAAAAAAGGAGAGACCACAAGGTGACTCCTTCGCTCATGTATGGCTCTCCTATTCCGTTTGTTAAGATTTTTTAGGCTTTTTCCTACACTCGAAACTTTCCCCAACAGCTCACATTGACAAAACCGTCAAACAATGTTCTAGTGTATTGAAATCCATTTGTGGTATTTCTTGGGGCTCTGATCCTTCTGGACTGATTAAAATGTATCTTGCATGAAATCTACCCATACGTTATGCCTCTGCAAGAAAGATTTCGCTTACTCGCCGGTTTTTCATCTAATAAAATTGTATCTTTTGCGAATCATCCGCCCTTACCTTTCATTTACCAACTTTATATCTCTCAATTTCTTTCCTTTCTTCTTTAAAATTTTTGATGACAAAACTAACAACTTCAATATTCTAAGAACTCGTGTATACAGCTTATTCAAAATTGCTCTTGGTTCCTCTAGACATACATTTTTAGTTGATCACCGTAGACCGCAAACCGACACGAACGGGAGATATGGATCGTTAAGTAAAGCAAATAATTACATTTATACAACTTCTTAAAAATAGGGGGTTATAGAGCAAGCACCCGTAAAAATAGTTCGATTCAATTCATTGCTCAGAGTGCGCGCCTCCTCACAATGAATGAATATTCGCTATATACCAAATGTAAGTTTGTATTTGTCTTTACTCATTGTTATTTATAACTTTTTACTTATTTCTATTTAATTTTAGATTGGAAAACAAGATATGCCGCTGCTCACCGCTAGACCATAAAAATGAGCATACGCCTCCGCACCTCTATGCAGATATTGATATACTATTTTTATCACCGGTGACAGATATGTGGAAATTTTTCAAGAGTTTTAATGGAACTCAAATATCAGCTTTGTCGCCGGAGAACGGTTGTAAATAAGAAAAGAAGATATGTGTAAAAAGCGCTTTTCTAGAAACGCTCTAATATAACTTGCAAACAGAAAATGTATGCAGAACAGGGACGCAATTATTATAAAAAACTTTTGAGAATAAACACCAACACAATCAGAAAATTTCTTGTGTTTTTCTGTACATATTTGAAGGTTGTGCGGGCGAAAATGTTTATTTATACATGTATATAAACATGTATAAAATTGCATTTTCTCGAATATTTATAGTCGGGCATATTTATGGCATATTTATGTATTGTGAGGCCTTTCGGCCCATACTCTGGGGCTGGAGTTTTATTTCACGCTTTATAACTTCACTTCCTCCTACATGACTCTCCGATACAATAACTTAACTCCACTATCACTCTCTAACCAAACTAAAACTATCCTATTCTATTCTTATCCTATGCTTACTCTATTCCTATTCCATTCTTATTCTATTCTTTTTCTCTATCCTAAGCTAGCTTACTCACTAGCACTCTCTCTCCCCCACCAGAGAGGCCACAACGAGAGACGAGTACATAAAGTAAAATAAGAAAAAAGCCAAAATTTTTAAAATCACATTGATTTTAAACAATTTTAACAAAGTTATAAAATAATATATATTGAGGCAAAATACGTTAACATTCCAAACTTCATACATTTTTAATTATTAAAGTGCATTTACTTCCGCCATTCCCGGATGGCCATCGTCCTAGATCTCAGTCTATTTTTTTTTCGCTTTTGTACTTATAAAGTGATATATATTGATATCGATAGCCAAAGGCCGAAAGCAAAATTAGGGTCGTAAATCGACTCCTGGTTTTTTATGCAGCATTAAATAGTATACTCTTTGTAATACTCGCGGTCTCACATTTGAACTAAAATTCATCAATTTGCATTGTTTCAATAGCAAAATTAAGGTGGAAATTTAGAAATTCCCAATTGGGAATACCGAAATTAAAGCAGTTATGAAAGGAGAGAGGATACAAGAACGGTTATGTCCACAAAAGACATGAATTCAGATTAATGTACGAAAGCATTTTTTTCGCTAGTGTCGCACCAGTGTTTCCAAGGAAAATTCGGGCGTTTATAACTAAGTTTAGATGAAGCATGGGCTGTGAAAACGATGAACCTGCAAAGAACTAAGATCAAGGATTTTCTCAAGAAAGCGTTTAACTCTCTTCGGGAATAGGATAAGGATAAGAAAACCTTCGTAAGGGCAGCAAGAAAGTTATACCCAAATAAGGCGAAACATTTCGTTAGAAACGTTTGCGCAATAATATCACACGTCATAGTCCATTTCCGAATATGAAATCACAAGAAACGTAATGATAATAGGAAAATAAACCTGAACTGAACATAAGTGTGTAAATAATACATTATTTGCTCCCTTATTTGAATAAGAAAGCTTATCAGAACGACCGTACAGTGTAGGACCGCTACCTATAAAGATTTTGATTAAATGCTTTTGAAAGAACGGACACGTACTCAAGAATCACTCAATGCACTATTCTATAAATGGCTGGATCACGCAACAATTGGTTTGACTTCCAGACACATGTGTAAAGCAGGTAAATTTATTAAAATACAAGAAAGAAACTACGTATTATGAGGATTGCAATATTACTGAGTCTGCCGAGCACCTTATTTTTGAGTGCAGGAGGTTTGACATCCTTAGACAATCTTTCAGTATATTTAACCTGTATAACAATTTATATGAAATTTTTCGTGATGGTAACTTTAGGCATTTGAAGCAACTGACTGCCTTTATCAAATCAGCTGAGTTTTCATTCTAATTTTACATTTAGTATTTTTATTACAATCACGAATTGCCTACACTTTTTCTTTTATCGGCATTATTAGCCGGGTCTTGACAGTACAGTACCAAATACGGTGATTTATGGATTGACAGCGGAACAGAGCCTTTCATTGCGAACACTCTGCCACATCAGTCTACCTATGCTTAAATTTTTTCATCAATCGCTCTCAACTTCCTTTCTGGATTATGGATCTAACATTAACTTAACTGGTCCAATCCATTTCTAAACAAACAAAAAAAAAAAAAAAAAAAAAACTACGTATTAATTAAGACAAACAAACAATTGTAAAATTTTTTTACGAAATACATTATATTTTCCTGGATTATAAACGAATTTCATACCTAAAAGTAAAACGGTGTAAAGTGATTCTGCGGTGTTTTTTGACAAATGAACGGCAGTTTCAAGCAATTCGTGCACAGAACTATTTATTTTCTTCTATGTAACAAAAGTTTAGCAGATTTATGCAGAAAGAACATGTCTTACGATGTAAAGCAGAGATATAATATAAACGATAATAAATTTACTTGATGTGTGCTTAGAGAGACGCATTTGTTACCACTTTCCAAAAAGCACAATCTACCACAAAAAAGAATGGGAACTAATACATTCTGACGTTTATAGACCCATTAGTACTAGATCTATTGCTGGCTCTAAGTATTTTGTGAGTTTTTGATCTCTATTTCTAAAGTCAAAATCGGAAGTCGTTGAAATTTCAACTCGTTGATAACGCAGGAGAATACATTAATATCCATATTTGGAAAGAAACGTTATTGTTAGGCAACGTATTGCTCCATATACTCTACAACAAAATGGGGTTGCTGGGGTGGCCTGGTAGGCCACGTCCGGTTAGTACTGGTAAAGCTGGAAAACCAAGGAAAGTTTGTAATGAATTATGTTTACTTGAACAAACACTTTGCAGCAAACATAAAGACATACGGGTAGAAGCTTCACTAAAGAAATACACATCACTGGTTCTAAATGGTTGTTTGCTATAAAACGAAATAGACAAGACAAAATAGAGCGTTCAAAGGCTAAAGCCTGTATTCAACAAATCGGCATGAATTATCAAGAAGCTTTTTCTCCTTATTATAAGAATGCTATTCACATTGGCTGTGTAATGGAAAATTCTTTTACATCGATGTCACAACAACTTCCTTCAACGGCGAAAGTTGTGATGAATTTTGCCTGAAACAGTCTGACGACATCGAAAATAACAAACATCCTGAAATCGCTTTATTGATTAAAACAAGCAGACAAAGGGCCAAATTATTAACATAATGGTGATCTCAAGAAATTAACCTTCATAGCACATCGAAATAAACTTTGTTTGTGCAACTTGAATCGGAACGAGAATATAGTTTTAATCGCCGTCTTTGTTGACGATATTGTAATTGCTTGCAAGGACAAGCAAAAAAGGAATTTGAAGCATTTTGAAATGGAACATTGTAAACCAATTTCAACGCTCTCTCTGAGATACAACACTCTTCCAAACCACAAACCACTCGTGTCATAGAAACGCAAACAAAATAAAAATGTTGCGGGGAGAACTTTTCTGAACTTTTGTTTATTTTCATAGAACAAGTTGCAGTTTTTGTTCATTTTCATCGAAAAGTTGATGTTTATTTATACAAAATTTTGCTAATTCTAGAATTGTACATTGATACAACGAATCGATGTTGAGCTATTTGTGAGAATTAGCATTGAAAGACTGCTCAAGCGCTTGCAAGCTATGTTGTTGGACGTGCACAACGGAAGACGGATCCACAAATGAAACGTATTTCGGCTCTAAACCGTGTTTTATGTCTTGTGATTCGTACCAAAGATTGAAAATCAAATTATGTACAGAGTAGCGAAATAGTCGGAGAATATGTTGATCATTTACAGGTTTCATGTTTCGGAAAATGTGCTGTAACGTGGGTATTTAAAAAACAATCCTCAGTTGCAGTCAGTAGCACGAAGTACATGGGCATAAAAAACTTTAAAAGATTGAAAAACATTTTAGAGCTCAAAGTTTGTGCTTCTGTTGTAAATTTACTAAAATTTCTTCTCGTGCTCCTTGATTTCTTCCAGCAACTCTATATCCATCCAATCCGGCAGCACAATTCGATATTTTTGATGTTTTTTTAGATGTATGGCTAACCACGAAGGCACATCCACTAACATTCTGGCATGAAAAGGGTTCAAACTACCTGATATCAAATGACGAAATTTCTATATCACGAATCTGCGGAAAAATGGGCTGCCGTAGCCTTAAATCGCTTAAATCAGCACGAAATCTAAATATAAAGTCTCTGGTTTTATATTTTACAAACCAAAATAAAAAACAAAATACTAATACAAAACTTGAATAATTTAGCTTCAAACAAAGCATATCTCGGCAAAATAAATATTCGTCTTAATTGAAAGCCACAGTTTGGCAGGAATATTTAAGATTAGTCTATCTCAAATCAACATCCCAACAAAAAAAAAATTAAATAATAATACTTAATATGAAACGTGTCTCTTTGCATGGATCTTTTTTTGGTGCGTTTGGAGATGTCCTCAGATTGTACAGCCTCGCTATTAAAAAACCAAATAAACGGTCAGTGATCGACGTACGTTGTCGCAATTGCAGAAATTATTGGAAAACACTTTCACAAAAAAGGTACAATTTCTAGATATATTTTTAAAACCCGTCATAAAATGCTTGCTATATATTTAACTCACTGGCATCCTGGAGAACGAAGTAGGCCGTGATAAATTTATAAAATTTTTGGGATTGTTTGCTACAAGGTTTCAGTATTGAAAGTTTTGAAACTAGTGAGACACGATTCGCTCGTTAGGTGGGGTATGGGGTGGCGCACGTGTGAAGGGAAGTAGGGGGACCCTGGACAGATACCGACGGACAAAGGATGGACCAACAGACGACGTACAGCACGGACATCACAATATGACTTAAAATATTACATAGTATAAATAAAAGACCTTTGTTATTACTTTTATTTTACCTTTTTTATTTTTTTTTTTCTGTATTTGTTTGTTTTTTTTGTAATGCGGCGCAGGGGGCAAAAAAGTATGAAAAAAGAAAAAATTTGCAAACCGCTCTACCGCGAGCGTTACAATAAGTGGCGCCCAACGAAATACGAACTGCCAAACAATAATTGAATTTCTAATTTTGTGATTAAGACCAACGTTGGTCATTACAATAAATGGCGCCCAACGAAATTAAAACCCAAGAAACGGGAATTTCCATTTTAATTTTTCAATGCACGGTGGTGGCTACAATAAATGGCGCCCAATGAAATTAAAACCCAAGAAACGGGAATTTTCATTTTTCAATACACGTTGGTCGTTACAATAAATATCGCCCAACGAAATTAAAACCCAATACAGCATTAATTTAATTTTAATTTCGTATATTTTAATCCATTTTTTTTTATATGAGTTGGTCGCACGTGACATGGCGCCCAACGTAAAACTGGAGCAAGGGGATTTTTGTGGTCGGTCTGAAGCAAAAATTTCCTTACCATTTCAATGCTCAGAGTTTTTACAAATAAATATTTTTTTTTCCCTTCTTTTTTCAATACAAGTTGGTCGCACAATAAATGGCGCCCAACGGAATTCGGACTCTCTGAATTTAATTTTGAATCAGTTTTTTTGGTAATATACGGTGGTCGCCCACTGCAAACCGGACACCAACATCGATATTTATTTTATTTTCTTGATATTTTGGTTGCTCATTACAAAAGAAAATGGGACCCAATGAAAATATGAACCGTTTAAATTTAATTTCAATATAAGTTGATCGCGCATTACATAAATGGCGCCCAACGAAAACCGACCTATTGATTAATATCACCAGCAGAGATTATTGTAATTATGGATTTAATTTTTAATATCCAACGAAATCCGGACAAATTGTTAATAATTAATTCAGTGGTAATTTCCAACGGAATACGGGCCGAAATAACTGACAACAGGGGACTTTTTGGGCTCGGGCGAAGCGAAAATTCCTTTGCAAGAATTTCTATGGTTGTTTTACATAAATATTTCGATGATTTCCTTTTTCTTGGTAAGCGGGTTACAACATTACAAGTAGTACCCAATGTAAAAGGAAATCCAGGAAACACTGATTTCAATTTCAATTGTCATTTTCATTTAACTTCAACTTTGAAGAGGACCCAATTAATTTAATTATTTCAACTTAATTTCAGTTAACTTTGATCGCATTATAAGAAATGGCGCCCAACGGAAACCCAACAGAAAATTAATTTAATTTTGTTTCACAATATAAGTTGGTCGCGCATTGCATTAATGACGCTCACCGAATTTCGAACCGGATAAGTAATTCTTTCATAAAAATGTTTTCAATGAATGTTGGTCGCGTTACATTGATGGCGCCCAACGTAAAAAGAATCCCGATTCTTCACACTTTTGATAGTATCTTTTTAACATAAATTATATTAATTTTTTTTTTTGTAATAACGTTGGTCGCGTTACATAAATGTCGCCTAACGCAATGTAAACCCGTGTATCCTTAAGGTGCACTTAAGGTTGTCTGTCGGTTTTTTTTTGAAAAGAAAAAAATGCCAGGGAGTTCGCCAAACTGCTATCGCAGTTGTGTTGCCGAGGTGCAGAGCTGTTGGACAGGGCGGCAGTGATAGGGTGGTAACGGGTGTCGGGGCAGTCAGGGGTACCTAACATCGGGGCATACCCGGTGGGTCCCAGGGCCGCTGACACCTGCGGTAGGGGTACTCATTGCTCGAGCTACGGCTTAGAGTCCGAGTGATGAGTATCTTGGGAGAAGAAGGGGGGTTCCTGTAGGTTACGCCCATCAGGTCGTGCAAGCAAAGCATGATGAGGTCGATCGTTCAAGAGAAGGGGGAAAAGTCGACTGTTGTGGGATCTGTGAAGAATAGTCGGGGGGAGTAAACTGAACCTCGGGCGTCCACCCGCACAGTGCTCCGCTTCAGTGGAGGTATTAGTACAAATTATAACAAAAAAAAAAAGCAAAGCCCTTATTTATACAGCATATACATTTGGTTTTTTATATCTGCTTAAATGGTAACTATAATAATATTAGTACTCCCGCACATCAGTCTCCAAACAGACCAGCGCAACCAGCAGGCAGAACAGCCAATGACTAGCGATGAGAACGCCCGAAGACGAAACGTAGACTTAAATCGCTGGCACTTAAAATTCGGTGGTTCAGGCAAGGGTCTCACGATTGAGAAGTTTATCTTCAGAGTAGAACGCCTCAGGCAGCAACAGCAAATAAGCCACGATGAGCTATTCACCGAGTTTCACTGTTTACTGGCCAGTCAAGCAAGCAAATGGTACTGGCAGCTGCTGGAAGACTGAGAAGGAGACTCCCCGTTCAACTATTTTGCCTTAAAAGCTGAGCTCCTCAATCAGATTCAGATTACGAACTAATAAGGGAGGTCGTGAAGCGAAAGCAGCAGCAGTCAAAGAACTTCGAGGACTACTACGCCAAGATACACGACCTGACCTTCCGCTTGCGGAGACAGATCCCCGAAACGGAGTTGATGAAAATTATGGAATCGTACCTTAAGCCCAGCCTAGCAACGCTCATCTTTACCACCAAGGTGGAAAGCTTCGCCGAACTCAAGGCAGAATGTAAAAGGGCGGAGAAGCTGCTAAAAGAAAACAGACCTAGACCAAGCATGATAAAGGTAAAGACAGACAGCGTGAGGATGGTGATGCTCAAAGAAACGGTAGTAGGTGGGCCAACACCTACAATACAAATAAGCGTCAGGAAGAGCGACGCCAGTTTCAACCTACAACGTCACCTGCAGGCCAGCCGAAGCAAGCTGAAACGCCCATAAGGACAACGCGGGATCACCACATTTCCAGGCAAGCACCAGCGGTCGCAGTAAATAGGGCGCAGAATATCTCCTTTCGCCACTACCGTTCCATCTAACCTTATGCTATGTTTGTGGTAGGCCAGGGGATTGCTTTCTGAAAAATCCCGCTGAAAGCGTGGTATGTTTTGTGTGCAGCAAGAACGAGAGCTATTGCGCGCTACCACCATCGGAAAACATCAGGCGGGCGAGGCAAACCGGGAACCCTGCCAGACGAGACACCACCCGGAACAACAGCAGTAACAATATTACGGATGGAAGGGAGATGCGAAGGAAAACCAACGGAACAAGACGCCACCGCACGTAGAAGCTTTGTACAGAGGATCGCAGACTACCAACGAAAACACCGCGGAGTTTTTAGCGCCGAAATTCGAAACAGACGAGCGCTCACTAGGAAATACAGAAAGATTCTTGTGCTGCGCCAGAGAAGAAAGGCTTATAAGAGATTTCAGCGAACGGAAGTCTCAGCAATTGTTACCCTGGAGCACGATAACAGGATGTTCGCTCGAACTAAAACTGACAACACCGAAATAGCCGCTCTGTTGGACACAGGAGTCAGCGTTGTGGAGCAGGAGCAACAAAAATTCGTCGAGAGTCGAAAACACAAAATCGTAAAGCTTCGAAGCCAGCATGTCCGAACGGCGAACGGGGATAAAACACCGGTATGCGGGATCATCACCCTACCAGTCGAGTGGGAAGGGGAGACTAGGAACATCGAATTCTACATAGTACCGAAGCTGCGGCAACAGTTCTACTTCGGCGTAGATTTCTGAAAGACCTTTGGCTTATCCTTCGCCACCAAAGCAGACACCATTAATTCCTCTAATAAATGCCAGGTATTCGATGGTATAAGCCAAGAAGACGATAACTCCAAGAATCACCGAAATTCATCACTTCAACTGACCGGTGTGAAGCACAGCTCCCTAGATAAAGGCAAGAAATGATTTCTACGCAATATCTTGAAAAGTTCAGCGAATCTATTGAATTCACCTCATCAATATCACCGTTACGCAATCATCTTCAACAACAGCAGCAGCTTCAGCTTTACAACGCTCAAACGATAAAAGCAGCAGCAAGTCACCACAATAAGCTATTGCCTTTTTCGATAGCTATTAGCTACAGTGCTAAATATAATAATCACAACGAATTGGCGGGACGTACACGCGTCAACAAAAATTTAAGTAGTCAAAACAATATGCGAAGATCTCCAATGCTTCATCCACCTGCAACTACTGCAACAACAAACCAATATCTTCATCAATCACAGAAACAGCGGCAATATGAATACTTGACACCGAGTCGTCATCCGCATCAGCAGCAGCATCATCACCATCGCCATAACGTACGAAATCAGCAACAATCGCCTTCAACTACACAGCCTGCCGGCAACAGTACTACAGGCCTTAATTTAAGCACAGATGTCATGGTAACTACAACAGCTCAATGTAGTAAATCCTATTTTCACCCACATCGAATTCGTACACAAACCAAATTTCAGCAAATCTATTATCAAACAGCTACTCAGCAATGATAAATAGTGAATTCGAATTGTCTACTAACACGGATGATGGAAGTGGTAATGATGGCGAACCTGATGGCAGCATTAGCCTAACACCTTGGGACTTGGCCACGGAAGCGTTAAAAGATTCACATCCTATAGATCGCGGACGCTTGCTAAGCTTGTTGCAAAGAATTTTAAATGAAATTCAACACTATCGTAGATGAAATCAACAACTCAAAGAGTTGCTCGACTTATGAAATGAACAAATTAGGAAACTTAATAACGATTTGCAAATTTGCTGACATCAGCTAGACTCACTTCAGCCAAATCACACATATGATAATGACGTAACTGCGTAGCAGATGCTTTCACGAGTCCTACTGGAAAAAAACTCACAACCTTGTGAACCTGGAAGGTATGAGGTAATTTCGAAGAAAACAAGTACAAGAATTACTAACCATTCAAACCAGAATGTGGAACTGCTGATGAAGCGTGAATATTGCCAGACAAACAATTGTCATTAACAAAAATTTTGGAAGGATGCTAGGGGTACACCACCCCAAAGATATTTTCTCCATTTGAGACCTCTTGAATACACACCTTCGAAGCACAGGCACCGCCCGGCTAGCTCAGTCAGTGGAGCATGAGACTCTTAATCTCAGGGCGTGGGTCAGCGTGTCATAGTTGGTTGGTCCGCGTACTATTTGCCGTAAACATTCCATATCGCTAGCGACATCGTAGGGAGTCAGTCGGTCTCTTTTTGCCGTATTAAGACATGCCGTTGTGCAAGATCGCATGATCACAAAAAAAGCGGCTTACCGCTATGCACAAGAAGATCAATTCCATTCCATTTAAAAGCGCTGATGAAAAACCAAAAGGAGATGAACGAACAAAAAAAAAAAAGACTATATCTAAAAAATTTTTTAAAATAGTTTTCTATATTGGACACATTAAAGTGAAAAAGTTAGAGGGGACATTTTTTTTTTGTTTATGTGTAAAGAAGGCAAAATAGCGCTCAAAAGCTTACAAGTTTGGAAAATAATGTCTAATAATAAAGGAAAAATAAATTATTGGCTAGAACTGTACAACTGAACTTATATATTTAAATACAATAAAGAAAAGGCTACGAAAAAAAAGAACTTGCTTGAAATTGCGGTTTGGGCTTATCCTCGATTGAATGCCAACAGCATTGGAAGGAAAGAATCGAAAAATTTTACAGTTGCGGCTATTCTCAGGGAGCTAAATGGCCAAAAGAGTAAGTTCTTCACTACTTGCAGAAATCACCAAGCTGTCACCGACTCCAAGGCTACCAACTTATAAGAGAATTGCAAGGTATTGTTTTAGTTAAGAGAAAAAAAAAAACAAATATGAATAATTAAACAGCGTATCTCACCGCTGAGGCTAGGTCTGGGGTGGCGCACGTGTGAGGGGAAGTAGGGGGACCCTGGATAGATACCGACGGACAAAGGATGGACCAACAGATGACGTACCGGACGGATATCACAATATGACTTAAAATATTACATAGTATAAATAAAAGACGTTCGTTATTATTTTTATTTTACCTTTTTACTTTTTTTCTCTATTTGTTTGTTTTTTTTGTAATGCGGCGCAGCGATCAAAAAAAAATTAGAAAAGAAAAAACATGCACACCACTCTACTGCGAGCGAGTTAGGCCGCGTTACAGACTGCTTGATCTTTGCTTTACCAATTTTCCTGAGATTTTTGTTAATCGTTGTCTTCTTTTTAGTTTACCTGGGGATTCTTATCATCCAGCATTGGGTATTTCCTTTCATTACAAGCATGATACTCCGTTGAACTTCTGTAACGTTCCAAATTGAACTTTTTCAAATAAATTTTATGATTTCCATAAAATCAATGTTTCAATGCTGAAATCTCATCTTTCACATATTATACTTGATTTTTCAACTGGAAGTATTGAAAGCTTACTGTCATCATTCTACAATGTATTAAATCTAGCTTTTTCTGCATCTGTTCCGGTCAAGCAGTCCCGATCTCGAAGCAGGTGTCCCCCGTGTTTTAGTTAGACAATTAAATATTACAAGAATAGAAAAAACAAGCTTTTCAAAAAATATTCGAAAAGTGGCTCCGCTTTCGACTCTTTCGCTTACTCGACAACAAGGCATAGAATTAACTCCCTCAACCACCGATATTATTGCAGATACCTGCAGTTCATTAAATCCTCTCTCTTTGATAATCCTAAATACTTTTTTAAATTTGTTAATTCAAAAAGAAAAATTTCCACATATTCCTCGCATGTTTCTTTTAATGGCTCTGAATCCTCGGATGATTTTGAAATCTCAAATCTCTTTGCTGAATACTTTCGACGAAACTTTCGGACTACTAATTCCGATTTATCAACAAACTACCCATATCCTATAACTAATTTGCTTTCAATTCCCAATTTGGTCATTTCTGAACACGACGTTTTTAAAGAGTTGAGCTCTCTAAAGTATAGTTGTGCTGCTGGACCTGATGGAATTCCATCATGTGTACTTAAACCTTGCGCTGTCGAGTAATGTGGCGCTATCCCAAATATTTTTAACCAGTCCTTGAATTTAGGTGTTTTCCCTTTCTGTTGGAAGAGTACTTTCATTATTCCTGTTCACAAAAGAGGGAGTAGACAATTCGTTGAGAACTAGGGGCATAGCCAAGTTGAGAATCTTGCCTAAGCTGTACGAGCGAATTGTGACCTTCGCCATCAATTCGTATATTTCTCCGCACCAGTATGGCTTCCGGGAAGGAAGGTCTACGGTCACCAATTTGTTAGATTTTACTTGTCACGTTTTCAAGGCTTGTTCTAGTGCCTCTCGCACTGATGTCGTATAAACTGATTTTGGCAAAGCGTTTTTTTTGGTTAACCATAAACTACTCATATTTAAACTCCAAGCCTCTGGTTTTCTCTTCTACTTATGGAAATGGTTAAGCTCTTATCTATACAATAGGTCATTCAGGGTTTTCTTTGACTTCATTACCTCGGATGAATGCCCCGTGACACCGGACCTACCTCAGCGCAGCCACTTAGGGCCCATTTTATTAAATTTATACATTAATGATCTGCCCTCGGTGAATAAATCCGGCCGTACGTTAATGTATGCTGATGATGTGAAACTGTTTTTCTTCCTTTTCCGTAGAATCGCAATCACATCAGCTTCAAAATGACTTGAATAATTTGGTTACATGGTGCTCTTTGAATCTTCTGAAACTAAATCTAAATAAATGTAAGAGTTCTTTCTCAAGAAGAAAGTCATTCATTACTCAGTGTTTCAATGATTCGCACAAGTTGGAGGACGTCAATTCGTTCACAGATTTAGGCGTGACCATAGGTTACGTTTTAACTTGCATATTGAGCTCTCGTTAAGCAAAGCTAGGTCCGCTCTTAGTTTTATAAAGAGATGGTCCAAAGGACTTGATGATCCGTACATTACGAAAAGGCTGTACATGTGTATGGTGAGACCTATACTCTTGTTCGCCTCCATTGTGTGGTCTCCTTCATATAAGTTATGTAGATTCAATTGAATCTGTTCAAAAGCAATACTTGCTGTTTCCCCTTAGGAATTTGGTTTGGGATCCAATTGCCTTTTTTACCCCCTATGAAAATAGGTTGCTTCGATTATCCTTACCGTCACGTAAGAAAAGTAGATTTGTTCTTTGCCTTTCCTTTGTAATGAAAGTAATAAATGGTACTACTGACTCGCCCGCATTACTTGGTGGGAAAAGCTTTAATGTCCCTAACCGCTTCTCCTGGCATTTTACCTTGATTAAGCTTAATCAATGTAAATACAATTATTTGTCGTCTAACCCGCTCGGAGTTGTTTGTGGAAACCTAAATGAAGTCTGTCACTTATTCTCAGTAGCATACTCAACTCATCGCATTTTACCTGTTTATTAATTTTACATACATTTAATATACACTTATATACATTCTCGCAAATCGATCATCTTAAGTGTACATTTTCACTTATTTTTACACAATGTAATTTTAGTAATGACTTAGTTTGCTTAAGCCAGCATATTACTTATTATATAGGATACTGACTACTGTAGAGTTAAGCCAGAGTTAAGCCAAAGTTATGTCAGAAAACCATACCATTAAATAAACGTCAAATTGTATTTAAATTAAACGTGTTTCACTACAATTAGACTCTTTAAAGTTTATTAAAGCAACTTTACTTAATATGCGCAATTTACCTATGTACCTAAACCATT